TTAATGCATTATTCCACACATATCGGCAAAAGCCTTTTTTTTACCGTCAAATCTACGCTCATTCCATACATATACCCCTGGTAAGATGTAAGTTCTACGAATTACTGCCTTCCATACATATACTCTTTCTTTGGGGATTCAGTTATTTTTTGTTCTTTTGATTTGAATGTCCCCTTCTTGTTAGCTGAGAGAGAAAATGAGAGAGAAAATATAAGGGTTTTAAAAGGAAAACACAAATACCTTATTTTAATTTGAATTCATTTAATTTTTGTTTATGCATTCAATTTTTTTATCAAGATTCACTATATATTAATTCAAAATAAGACTTGTGAATCATCAAGACTAAGATATATATATATATATATATATATATATATATATATATATATATATATATATATATATATATAGAATGAAAACTGTATTAAAGCCAAGAAGTTTAAAGAGAAAGGGAAAGAAAGAGATACGGATTTTAAGGGAAAGCGTAAATGACTTATTTTAATTTAAATTCTTTTTATTTTTGTTTATATATTTTATTTCCATATTTTATTTTTCTCGGCACGCAATATATCGATAATGACGAGGTTCCCGGTTTGACGAGGAAATAGTTACACTTCATGTGGCCTTGGGCATCTGGGTTGAAATGCCTAACGTACAATGAGACATTACACACCTAACTGGAAGAGAATGCGAAGTCAGCGAAAATTATTTCGCCGTGGGACGAACAATTTAACCAGAGTGCAACAATCGCGGTGAATTTGAGGAGTCTCTTAATCGTTGTCGTATGTCCCTCGTGTGAACATATTGAAGCCTGCATGGTTTGCATACTGCGCTTAAAATCCTTTTTTTCGAAGCCAGTTGCGTCTGCAGCAATATGAGCCCGTTGTCGGACTGGAGGAAGACTTATACGCTTCTGGACTTGCTTACCGTCTTGTGTATAGTGATACCGACGACGTCGTTGTATCAAGTCCACGAAGAAACGTCTGTTTCTTCTCAACACATGGTTGCGTTCTTCAAGCACTGGCTGCAGGTCGGGATCATGATAAAAATAGAGAGACATTCTTGGGAAAAACTTGCCTAAAGGCGGATAACTTTTGCGCAAGATTGCGCGTTCAAATCCCGTCGGGGTCACCAATAATTTGTAACGGAATATGCTTGTATAAGCGAAGAAATAGGCAAATCTCCAACAAGGTTCTACAAATTTCAGTATTTTTTTTATTATTTAAGTATTTTTTTTTTCAAATTGAAAGAAATGAATTACAAAGATTCTTTGCGAAAAAAAATCATACGAACATTTTTGTGTATCTTTTTTACAGTAGAATGAAAAATTGAAATGAGTTAGTACAACAGAAGCAGAAAGCGTCTACATGTGAGTCTGTATGTGAGTATGTACGTTGTTTTATCTGCGTGTATAAATTACGGCAATCGCCTGCATGAACAGGGAACTCAAACTTACTAAAGCTGACTCTCCTAAACAAACTTAGTCGGCATGCTTTTTATGTGTCAATATCGTTAAGCATTTTTGTGTAACATTATACACTCGAATAAGTATACGAACGAACACCTGAAAGACTAGCTAGGGAACAAGAACTGAGTATATTTATCATGAAATAATTGACTACATAAACCAACAATCAGATTTATTAGTCTCAATTTTCTTGGTTAAGAAGTATTTTCCGGATTTTTAAATATCAAATTGTTGGTGCTTGTCATGTGCAAAAATGAATTAACTTCTTATTTTAAATAATCTATTGAATTTTTCTACAATTCTGAAACGGGCTTCTACATATAGAGAGATAGATAGGGACATAAAAACCGTCGTCGATAGATAGATAGATAGATAGATAGATAGATAGATAGATTTGAACAGTCAAACGTAGTTAGATATTTTTATGCATGCTTATAAATTGTAGCAGTCGTCAACATGAATAAGCCGTTGTGCACTCTTATACAGTTGACGCTCTTAAACAAATTTAGTCTTCATGTTTTTATGTGTCAATATCGCTAAGCATTTTTGTAATATTATGTACTCGAATAAATTTACGAAAATGTGAGTAATTGTGAGAATTTCAGATTGTATAACAACTCAACGGCCTCTCTGTTCAAAGTTTAACTGAAAAAAAACTAGCGAAGTAAAAAATGATCACTTTTATAATAATATAATCGGCTCTATAAGAAATATTGTTGATCATATTCTGAACCGATCCTCACAATTTCAAGAAATTATTATCGCCTGCAATTCCAAAGAATACCGCGCGTCTCATACGGTGTAGCTCACTGATTAAATATATATGAAAAGAAATTTTGGGAAGCGGTCGTGTACAAAAATGAATTAATTTCTTATTTTAAATAATCTATTGCACTGAAACGGGCTTCCACATATAGACAGATAGATAAATAGAAATATAAAAACCGCCATCGATAGATAGATAGATAGATAACAAGCTAGATAGACAGATAGAGAGATAGAAAAAAATGAGATAAACAGATAGATCGATATGAACAGACTGAGATAGATAGATAATGTGCAGGCTGAGATAGATAGATAGATAGATAGATAGATAGATAGATAGATAGATAGATAGATAAACTAATTGATTCGTATGCATTTTTGTAAATAAAATAAAAAATACCTAGCGAACAAGAATTGAGGATATTTATAATGAAATAATCGCCTACATAAGAAACCAAAAATTAAATTTATTCATCTCGAGTTTATTGGTTAATATGTTTTTTTCTGGAAATTGTTGATTATATACTGAAATGCTCCTGCAATATTTCCCAGCCAAATTATTTTTATCGTCTGAAATTTCAAAGAATACCGCGCGTTTCACACGACGTCGCTGATTGGTTAATATATATGAATACAAACATTCTAATCATTGGACCCGATCAGTGTACAAAAATAAATTACTTTCTATGTGATCACGGGTTTGTACAAAAAATGAGTTTTCTATGACAGAACTGAAATCTATAGCATTTTTTACAATTCCGTAAGGGGGTTCCAACAGGAGGATGACTGTTGCTCAACTGATGTTAGTGAATGTTGTTAACCTTGAGTTGAATTAAGACCCTGTTGGTTGAAGGTATTGATCTTCCGAGCAACACAGTAGTTCAAGTTTTTGCTTAAGTTCCTTGAAGTTGATTCAGGGACATCGGCCTCTTTTGTTTCTGTGTGTTTTTAGTCCCTCTGCATTTTTATTTTGCATTCCTCCTTGAGTGACAAACGTATTATATATTTACAAGTGTTGCTTACCCTGTACAAGGCCCGAGCGCGATTCGATTTGAGGGTAAAAAAAGTCTTTTACCGATATGTGTGGAATAATGCATTAAAATATTTAACCCGAGATTTGAAAGAGTTAAGATCGTAGTGATAAGGAAAGCAATCTCTTCGAGTTGCTTCCACAAGGAGGTAATTCGTAGAACTTACATCTTACCAGTGGTATATGTATGGAATGAGCGTAGTTTGCTATAGTGTGTGTGCCATGGCGTGGAGGTTTAGAGTTGCGGAACTAAGGAGAATAGTTCATCTGAACACTTTCCATAGAAATAGGGACAGGGCAGCAGAAATCTTTCGACGTATCGTCTGTGAGAAAGTGGTTGGAAGGTGAAAAATGTTTCATCACCTACAAGGACGCGGAGACGCTTTTGGATTCTATCGAGTCTGGAAAGGGAACTCTTGTCAGTTCACGTCCATTGGAGTTGCGGGAACATTTTTTTTGTTTCTTTTATTATAATTCTTTTTTTTTTTTCGTCTACACATTCCAACTGTATTTTTGAACGGTTAAGTTGCATTTCAGTCGTGGGGAGGTTCCCATACTAACAGCTCTTTTGGTTTTTATATAATTTTCATTCAAATCATGTTTTTTCTCATTATTGTGATTATGGTGACGAAAGATAGAAAGAATGAAAAAGAAAGAAAGAAAGGAAGAAAGAAAGGAAGGAAGAAAGGAAGGAAGAAAGAAAGAAAGAACGAAAGGCTGATAGAAAGAAAAAAAGAAAGATAGAAAGAAATAACAAGGAACTGATTAAAATTGAATTTAGTAAGGAATGAAAGAGAAAGTAGATTAGACAAGAAAAAAAGAAAGAAAGAAAGAAAGAAAGAAAGAGAGAGAACGAAAGAAAGACAGAAAAAGGAAGAGAATAAAAATGAATTTATCAGGGAATGAAAAAAAAAGACGAATAGGCAAGAAAAATGAAAGAAAAAGAAAGAAAGAACAACGAAGTGAATAAATGCACAAGGCCAAAATTGTGGATCATTTAGTGAGGATCGAAATCACTACCCAGTCGTAATTGATATAGTGAGACAACCAAGTGCTCAAAATGGCGATTTTTCAAGCGTCTCTTAGATCTGGCACAAGGCTGAGAGTATAGAGCACTCAGTGAGTATCGAACTCACTTTTTAGTCGTAACTTTTCTATTTAGACAAGCATTCTAAACATTACGCCACACCGATGTGTCCAAAAATGATGTTTTAAGAGTAGCTTAGATGTGGCACATTGCCAAAAGTGTGGAGCACTCATGGAAGTATTCAAACCTCACTGGGTGGCTACACATTCGGCCTTGTGCCACATCTAAGCTACGCTTAATAAATCTCTATATAAATTAATAAGAGATGGCTACTTCGACGTAATGGTTAACAAGCTTGTATCGCTAGAGCAATTACGAATGAATAGTGAGTTAGATCCTCGCTGGTTGCTCCATTCTTTCGGCCATTGTGCCACGTCTAAGCTATGCTTAGAATATCACCAGGGCACTGTAATGGTTTTCTAAGCTTTTCTCACGATATCAATTACGATTGAACAGGCCTTGTGCCACGTTTAAAATACATTCAGAACATTTGTATGTTCATGTCCAGAGCGATTGGAACGAGCAGGTTGAGTAGATCTTGGGCCTTGTATTGGTTGAAAAAATATTAGAAAAAAAGAGATTGTTATAGTCTTTCCTTGTGTGAATACAATAATTGTGTTAGGTCTTTTCTATTGTGCACAGATTTCAAAATGGCAACAGACATAAGCAAACAAAGAAGGAATCAGACAATTGCTGAACCCAAATATTGGTGGTCGAAATTCAATTTCTTTATCAATATACACGGTGAGTCATTGTGGAGTGAATTTTAACATTATCACTGATTCTATTAACATATTCCATTTGAATTCGGGGAATTTCTTTACTGTTTATCTTTTTATTCTTTCATTTTCATTCGGCTTTTCTTCATCTCCTGTTTTTCGTTTTTATTCATTCCTTGCTTCTATTAACTTTCAAATTTTATATTTTCCAACATTTTTTCTATTCTGCTTTCTCTTTCATTACCTATTACATTCAATTTCATTCAATTCCTTATTTTGTTTCTTTCTTTCATTTTTTCCCGCTCTGTTTCTTTCTGTTTGCTTTCATTTTTATTCCGCTATCTCTTTCATAATTTACTACTTTCAATATTATTCAGTTCCTTATTCTATATTTCTTTCATTCTTTCTTTCTCTCTCTCTCTTTCTTTCTTTCTTTCTTTCCTTCTTTTCTATTCCGCTTTCCCTTTCATAAACTATTACATTCAAATTCATTCAATTCCTTATACTGAATTTCTTTCTTTCTTTTTTTCTTTGTTTCTTTCTTTCTTTTCTATTCTATTTTCTCTTACATAACCTACTACATTGAATTCCTTATTTTGTCCTTCTTTCTTTCATTATTTTTTTCTTTCTTTACTATTCAGCTTTCTCTTTCATAACCTACTACATTCAAGTTTATTCAGTTCCTTATTCTGTGCATCTTTTGTCTTTCTTTCTTTCTTTCTTTCTTTCTTTCTTTCTTTTTTCTTTCTTTCTTTCTTTCTTTCTTCTCTATACCGCTTTTTCTTTCATAACCTATTACATTCAATTTTATTCAGTTCCTTTTTCTCTTTTTCCTTTTCTTTTCTTTCTTTCTTTCTTTCTTTCTTTCTTTCTTTCCTTCCTTCCTTCTATTCTTTCTTTCTTTCTTTCTTCTCTATACCGCTTTTTCTTTCATAACCTATTACATTCAATTTTATTCAGTTCCTTTTTCTCTTTTTACTTTTCTTTCTTTCTTTCTTTCTTTCTTTATTTCTTTCTTTCTTTCTTTCTTTCTTTCCTTCCTTCCTTCTATTCTTTCTTTCTTTCTTATCTATACCGCTTTTTCTTTCATAACCTATTACATTCAATTTTATTCAGTTCCTTTTTCTCTTTTTCCTTTTCTTTTCTTTCTTTCTTTCTTTCTTTCTTTCCTTCCTTCCTTCTATTCTTTCTTTATTTCTTTCTTTCTTCTCTATACCGCTTTTTCTTTCATAACCTATTACATTCAATTTTATTCAGTTCCTTTTTCTCTTTTTCCTTTTCTTTCTTTCTTTCTTTCTTTCTTTCTTTCTTTCTTTCCTTCCTTCCTTCTATTCTTTCTTTCTTTCTTATCTATACCGCTTTTTCTTTCATAACCTTTTACATTCAATTTTATTCAGTTCCTTTTTCTCTTTTTCCTTTTCTTTTCTTTTCTTTCTTTCCTTCCTTCTTTCTTTCTTTCTTTCTTATCTATACCGCTTTTTCTTTCATAACCTCTTACATTCAATTTTATTCAGTTTCTTATTCTGTGTTTCTTGCTATTATTCTTTCTCTTTCTTTCATTCTTTTTTCTTTATTTCTTTCTTTCTGTCTGTCTTTTCTATTCTGATTTCTCTTTCATACCATACTACATTCAATTTTATTCATTCTCTTATTCTGTTATTCTTTCTTTCTTTCTTTCTTTTTTTCATTCATTCTTTCTATCTCTCTTTATTTTTCTTTCTTTTTTATACAGATTTCTCTTTCGCCACCTACTATTTCAATTTTATTCAGTACCTTATTCTTTCTTTCATTCTTTCTTTCATTTTTCTCTCTCTCTTTCTTTCTATCTTGCTTTCTTTCTTTTCTAATCTGCTTTGTCTTTTATAACCTACTACATTCAATTTCATTCAATTCCTTATTCTCTCTTTCTTTCTTTCTGTCTTTTTTTCTTTCTTTCTTTCTTTCTTTTCTATTCCGCTTTCTCTCTCATAACCTACTATATTTAATTATATTCATTTCCTTATTCCTTCTTTCTTTCTTTCTTTTTTTCTTTTCTATTCCGCTCTCTGTTTCATAAACTACTGCATTAAGTTCAATTTTGTTCCTAATCCTGGCTATTTTTTTTTTTTCATTCTTTCTGTCTTTTTTATTCCGGTTTCTGTTTCATAACCAACTACATTCTATTTTATTTAGTTGCTTATTCCTTCTTTCTATCTTTCTTTCTTTCTTTCTTTTCATTCTTTTCTTTCTCTCTCTCTCTCGTTCTTTTTATTCTGTCATTTTTCTTTCTTTCTTTCCTTCTTTCTTTCTTTCTATCTTTCTTATCTATACCGCTTTTTCTTTCATAACCTATTACATTCAATTTTTTCAGTTCCTTATTCTCTTTTTTCCTTTTCTATTCTTTCTTTTCTTTCTCTCTCTCTCTCTTTCTTTCTTTCTTTCGTATTCTGCTTTCTCTTTCATAATCAACTACATTCTATTTTATTCAGTTCATTATTGATTCTTCTGTCCTTCTTTCTTTTCCATACGGCTTACACTTTCATAACCTACTACATTCAATTTTATTCAGTTCAGTTTCCTGTCATTCTCGCATTATTCTTTCTTTCTTTCTTTCATTTTTTTTCTTTCTTTCTTTCTTTCTTTCTTTCTTTCATTCATTCATTCTTTCTTTCTTTCTTTCTTTCTTTCTTTCTTTTCTATTCCGCTCTCTCTTTCATAACCTACTACATTCAATTTTATTCAGTGCCTTTTTCTTTCTTCCTGACTCTCTTTCCTTCTCTGAGTCATTTTTTCTATTTTTCTTTCTCGTCTATTTTCCTTTCTCTTTCATTCTCATCTAAATATTGATTCTTTTCGTTCCCTTCTAAATTCTCTTTTTTTAGTCCCCTGTCATTTTTCTTTCCGTCTTTGTATCTTTCCTTCTTTCTTTCTTTCATTCTTCTCTATTTCTCTCTCTCTTACATTTCCTACTAAATTTTCTTTCTTTCACTTCCTTCTTCCTTTAATACTTTTCTATTCTTTTTTCTCTTTCATTTCTTTCTATATTCTCTTTCCTTCAGTTCTCCTTTCTTTCTTTCTTTCTTTCTTTTTTTCTCTCTACTCCTTAATTTACCCTTTCCTTCTAAATTTTGTCTCTTCTATACTAATTTCTTTCTGACGCTGTTTTTTTCTTTTAATCTGTCTTTTATTATTTTTAAGTGTTCTTTCCCATACTTCTCATTTCTTTCTTTCTTTCTTTCTTTCTTTCTTTCTTTTTTAAGATGTCTTTCCTTCACTTTCCTTTTATTGTTTGTTTGTTTATTTTTGCTTTTCTTTTTCTCTTTGTTTCGCCTTCCTTTCAAAATTCTCTTTCTTTCACTTCGTCATTATTTCTTTCTTTATCTTTCTTTTCTCTTTGTTATTCATTACTTTCCAAATTGTCTTTCTTTCACTTCACCTTTCCTTTGTGCTTTCTTTCTTTCTTACCTTCTTTCTTTCTTTCTTTCTTTCTTTCTTCGTCTTTCATTCCTTTCTAAGTTTTCTTTCCTTCACTTCCCCTCTGTGTGCTTGTTTGTTTGTTTGTTTCTCTCTTTCTTTTTTATTTTCTTTCTTTTTCTATCTTCCCTTCTAAATGTTCCTCCCTTCTATACTAATTTCTTTCTTACTTTCTTTCTTTCTTATCATCTGTCTTTCATTACTTTTTAAGTGGTCTTTTCTTCACTTCCCCTTTTTCTTTCTTTCTTTCTTTCTTTCTTTCTTTCTCACTCATTCTTGATTTCAAAATTGTCTTTCCTTCAGCTTCCATTTCTTTCTTTATTTCTTCATTCATTATTTCATTCTTTCTTTTTTGTTTCTCTCTCTCTCTCGCTCTCTCTCTCTTTTTCTTTCTTTCATTATTTCATTATTTCCTTCTGTCTTTTTTTCCCTCTTTGTCCCACATTGCTTTCTAAATTGTTTTTCGTTCACTTCCCGATTCTTTCAGTCATACTTTATTTTATGCTTTTTTATTTCTTCCTTTCTTTCTTTATTTCTTTCTTTTCTTTTCTGTTCCTCTTTTTCTTTCTTTCCCTAATAAATTCATTTCCTTGTTCTGTCTGTCTGTCTGTCTGTCTTTTTTTCTGTTTTAATCTTTGATATGTCTGGCATAAAATCTACTTCATATCCTCTGCTATATTTTCACTTGTTTTAACAAGTTATTCTTATGAATTACCCTACTTTATACATTACCCTATTCTAACCTATACACACTAAGCCATTTAACAACTTTTTCATTGGTAGTATCAACTAATGATTTTTTCTATAAAAAGTGACTTCCTTTAATGTCTCTTACAACTGCTATTAATGATTGATCTGGAATCGTTTCATAGTCATCGGGTATCAATGTATCTCTAAAAGAATACATCTTGTTCAGTTAATACTGCTTTGGTTTAAAACGATACAGAATGTTCTGTTCACAATATAAAAACTTATATTATAGCGTTCTTGAATTGTTAGCTGGAGAAGAACTTCTTCAGGAGGTAACGAATGAAAATGAAAAGAAATTATTAAACATTAATTGCACGAAGACGAATTTGATAGCAAATGAATAGACAAATTGCAAATTGGAGATACCACAATCAATTAAGTACAAGAATTGAAATATCTGAGAAGAGTTTTAACAGAAGACGTAAGTAAAACACTGAACTCCGAAGGTGAATTGCGATGGTGAATGATGCCTTCCAGAAGCTAAGCAACGTATTAAGAAACGGACAAATCTCGTTAAAAAAGAGATGGAGTAGTGTAGTCTTATGTAATATCAGTACTCCTATATTACAATGAATGCTGGACAGTCTCCACCCAGATGACGCAGAGGCAAGAGAAATATGGTTCTACAGAAGGATGCTGAGAATACCATGGACGAAGCATGTAATAGACATGGAAGTTTTTCAGAAAATGCCAACTAAATGAATATTTACACAATATCAGGAAGATATAGTTGAATTTTCTGTGGTATATAATGAGGAACGAGTGCTCGGGAAATTTGATACTCACAGATTAGATGCAACAGGTTCAGATGGAAACAAAGGATAATCTACCTAGCAATCTTGAGCAAAGATTTAGGAAATTGGAAGTTAAGCTTAATAATTGGCAAGCCATGAAATAGGAATAAAACAGAGATGTTTAAAGCATATCTGGAATCTGTAGATTTGCGACAATGTACGATCCATCTTATTCTAGATTGTTAACTGTGAATACAACAATATATATCTTATTATATGGGAAAAGGAGGTATATTCAGGCCCAGTTAGGGGTATATTTCAGCGTCTCCAATTACATGACAGGTGATATAAACTGGCCTAGCCTATCTTATATATAAGAAAAGGATGAGCACTTTGACGTGGTATACAAGGGGAGACCCAAAAATAACCGGAATTGTGTCATATAATTTTATTCCATGTTTGTATTCTTAGCACCTTCAAAGTATTCTCCATTTGAAGCGATGCACTGGTCCAGACGTGTCTTCCATTGTTCAAAGGAGTCCTGGAACTCTTGTGAAGTTATGTTTTTAATGACTTCGTTGTTTTCTTAGCCTCTTCGGAATTTGCAAAACGTTTTCCTTCGAGGACATTCTTTATTCGGGGAAACAAAAAAAAAAGTCGCAGGTGGCGAGATCGGGTGAAGAGGGAGGGTGGGGAAGTGGGGTCATGCCATTCTTGGTCAGAAAATGTCTCACACTCAAGGAAGTGTACGCTGGCGAGTTGACGTGATGTAACCACCAACCTCCACTTTGCCAGAAATCAGGACGTTTTCGTCTCACCTTGTCTCGCAAACGCTTCAGGATTTCCAAGTAAAAAGCCTGGTTAACAGTTTGACCAGGAGGAAGAAATTATTTGTGGGTAATTCCTTTCGCATCAAAGAAACAAATCAGCATCGTCTTGACATTGGACTTCACTTGACGCGCTTTTTGGGGGGTCGTGGTGACGTTGGATGCTTCCACTGACTTGATTGCTGCTTCGTTTCCGGGTCGTAACCATAGCACCAGATTTCGTCACCAGTGATGACCTTCGAAAAAAGGTCTGGATCAACTTCCAACTGTTCTTTCATTTTACGACAGGCATCCTTTCAGCTATGGTAAAAATAGACAAAAAGGCGTGAAGTACTTTAAAACAAATGTGAACCACGGAGCTGTACGTCTTCCCACGATGACACCAGTTAGCACACTGATGCCTGAAGGTTGCCTCAAGTGGCATCTAGCGGTGGAAGCCTGTACTACGGGCTTGTCACACAGAAAACGATTCCGGTTACTGTTGGGTCCCCCCTCGCATAAGTTAGCCAGCTTGTCTCGCCATATCAATAGTTACTGAGCTAGGCTTTAGGTTCGATACTTACTAGGTGCTCCATACTTTTGGCCTTGTGCTATGTTTAAGATTCACTATATACTATAAATGAATGCCGCATTGACTAGTGGGGAAGAATTTAGATTAGCCAGTTTTGTACCCATATGAGTTATGAAGAAGGATAGCCGTAGTTATACTCGGGGGTTATACCTGATAAGGCTAAACTACATCCGGATGGAGTGAGTTTTATCTGGGCTGACATACACCTCTTTCATATATCAAGGCCGTCTATGAAGGATGCGGAAAGGTATTTAAAACAGTCAACGTTCAAGCTCATGCTCTACTCAGATGTAATCTCTATTCCCCTGTACGATCGTGAGACCTTGCTACTCAACAAAGGCATCCGCAAACTTGAAATATTCCATCAAGTGAAACTTCGTCGAATGCTGCCGAACACGTAGCAGGATCAGATCACGAACAACGAAGTTCTCGTCTGTGCAAAGATGGAGAGCGTAGAAACCATCTTCGACTTCGATGGGCCGGATACCCTTCACGAGTGCCTGTCATCCGCCTACCCAAACAAATCCTTTTCTCAGAGCTCGGTTCTGGCAAGACACCGCGAGGAGATGTATGTCATCGATTCAAGGATCAGCTTAAAACCACATTGCGGAGGATACAAATCGATCCGGTCAATTAGGAGACGAAAGCTACATGAAGAACCAATTGGACAAGGGCAGCCCACGAAAAAAAAAATTCTTCGAAAACGCGAGGAGACCAATAGAAGAGACGAAGAGAGGTCAAAGTAAAGGCCGAACTCTCCATCTTTTGAACTATCCTAGCCTGCCATATGGTGGCTTGACATATTTCTTCAGATTTAAAATAGGAGTCATTCACTAAAGAAGGAAACGTCAATGAGCACCCCACTACTTGGAAATGAGTTCTGCCAACGACAATATATATATATATATATATATATATATATATATATATACTTAAAATAAAAGGTGCCACGCTATAGATTCGGTCAATTGGGGAACGGGAGTCGCAGGAGGAACCGAAAACACCTGAAGAAAAATAAAAGAGAGGAAGAGAGTGCCCCCCCCAAAAAAAACCCCCAAAGATCTTCATCTTCTGAACCCTTTTACCCTACCATGCATTATCTGTGGAAGATCTCTTCAGATCTAACATAGGACTCATTTCAGTCAGACGAACACCCCAATACTCGTCAACGAGTTGCGCTAACGACGACGGGTGCCTCCAAACTACTCTTTCTAATTCATTATAAACACGACGTTTCGTCCAAGAACGCTCTAAGTATCATCAGATGTTTGTTATTTTCGTTGCTATTGGATATCTGTTGAATTCAAGGATCAGCTAAATATATAAAGAAAACAACTTACTGAAGATAAAAATCGATCCGATCAATTAGGAGACGGAAGCTGCAGAATGAACCATTTCAAGAAGTGTGGCCTAAGACAAAATTTTTTTTGAAAACACCAGAAGACAAATAGAAAAGATGAAGAGATCCCAAAGTAAAGCCAGAACTCTCCATCCTCTGAGCCCTACTCTAAAAGGTGGTGTCTGCGGAAGGTCTCCCCAAATCCAACATAAGACTCATTTCAGACAGAATGAAATGACGATGAGCATATCAATAATCGCCAACTATATATATATATATATATATATATATATATATATATATATATATATATATATTGAACAAAAAAAAATAAAAAAATAAAAATATTAAAAAATTAATAAAAAATTTTATATATATATATATATATATATATACATATATATATATATATATATATATGCATGTTTCATTAAAAACGACAGACAAGGTACTACGGTTGAGCTTTTTATTTAATTTTTCTTGTGTTCTGACAAGAGCTTTCTTTTCTGGACAAAGAGTGTGTAAGAACTGTCCGAATGTTCTGTATTTCCGAGCGCTTTCGGCTATATCTTTAGCCATTATCAAGGATGATTCAATATCATCAATTACCCGACACTATTAGGAACATACTATTAGAAAACACAAATATATTAGCTGCATCCACTTGCAAAAAAAGACTAAAAATAATGGAAGCTCTAATAATAAAAAAGAAAAAGCCAACTCTTAACAATATTAACTATGAACAAAGCCACAATGTGCTAACCGTATTCGGAAACTAAAAACATCACTACCACACACTGAACATACACAGAACACACACACTCTACTTTCTTTCTTTCTTTCTTTCTTTCCTTTCTTTCTTTCTTTCTTTCTTTCTTTCGTTTTCCTTCTTTTCTCTGCTTTTTTACATTCATTCCGCTCTAAATTTTCTCTAATTCTGTTTGACTTTCTTTCTTTCTTTCTTTCTTTCTTTCTTTCTTTCTTTCTTT